GCCCCAGAAGAGTCCAAAACATGGCCTGCCAGAATGGAGGGGTCGAGCTGGCCCAGGCCACACGGCCCCAGAAGAGTCCAAAACATGGCCTGCCAGAATGGAGGGGTCGAGCTGGCCCAGGCCACACGTCCCAGCCACCACCCCATTCCCTGCTAGAAACATAACACGGAATTGGACAGGCATGACTGTCTGGAATCGTCTTCGCTTGTGAAAGGAGTAGAGCAGTGTGTGCAGCAGGGAGGGGCAGGGGTGGGGCGGGCTGTGTGTGGTGTGGGGGTGGGGTAGTGTGTGCCTGTGTGGTGTGTGTGCGTGTGTATGTATTTGGTGTGTGTGTGCATGCGCGCACGGGGTGTGTGTGTATGCATGTGGGGGGGCATGGGGGGTGCATGCATGCGGTATGTGTGTGTGTGCCTGTGTGGGGTGTGTGTGTGTGATGTGTATGTAAGGCATGTGTGGTCTGCATGGTGTGTGTGCATGTGTGTGCCTGTGTGGGGTGTGTGTGTGTGTGATGTATATGTGAGGCATGTGTGGTCGCATGATATGTGTGCATGTGTGTGTGCTATGTGTGTGCCTGTGTGGGGTGGGTGTGTGTGTGTGATGTATGTGTCAGGTGTGTGTGGTGTGCATGGTGTGTGTGCATGTGTGTGCCTGTGTGGGGTGTGTGTGTGTGTGTGATGTATATGTGAGGCGTGTGTGGTCGCATGGTGTGTGTGCTATGTGTGTGCCTGTGTGGGGTGTGTGTGTGTGATGTATGTGTCAGGCGTGTGTGGTGTGCATGGTGTGTGTGCATGTGTGTGTGCTATGTGTGTGCCTGTGTGGGGTGTGTGTGTGTGATGTATGTGTCAGGTGTGTGTGGTGTGCATGGTGTGTGTGCTATGTGTGTGCCTGTGTGGGGTGTGTGTGTATGATGTATGTGTCAGGTGTGTGTGGTATGCATGGTATGTATGCACGTGTGTGTGCCTGTGTGGGGGGTGTGGGGTGTGAAGCCACAGTGCGGCTGTGGCACCGGGCAGGGCGGGCGCCGGGCGGGAACAGCTCCGGGCAGCGGCAGGCACCTCCTGATGTCTGAGAGGCATCAACCCCCCCAGCCCTTGTGTCCCCGTTTGCCCTGAAGCGTCTCCTGTTGGAGTCCCTGCCCGCCGGGGTCCCTGCAGCGGCAGGTCGCCGTCTCTCGTGCAGGATGTCCCCACCTGCAGGAACTCCGCCAACATCCTCAGCGTTCACCCCTGGCTGGCTCCATCTCTCCGGGATCGGGGCTGAGAGGAGAGAAAGGAGCCGGGCCCTGAGCAGGTTCAGCGCAGAGGGATGCCCTCACCCAGAGTCTAACATCCTGGACCTCTTCTCGTCCCTTAGCATGAAAACCAGCTCTTGGCGGACACAGTCACCATTAGCATGTGTTTCCGACTGTCTGTGACTCATCGCCCGCTCAGCCGAGACTGTCAGATCCCCTGCACACCCCGCCCCCCAACTGGGGGCTCTGCTGGGCTGCAGGGGCTGAGACCACGGCCCTGCCTGTGTCCCGCGGGCTGTACAGCGGGGCGGGGGCACGCGGGCGAGCAGACTGCGAGCCTGCAGGCCCCTGCCCACCTGGGCCCCAGCTTCCTCCCCGTGCAGGGAGGGCAGGGCCGGGCACCCGCTGGCACTCCGTCCGTGGCCTGGCCAGCCACCCCATCCATTCTGCAGGGCCATGTGGACTCTCCCGCTAGCTGTCCCTGGTCCAGGCACTCAGTGGCAGAAGCGCAAATCCTCTAGGCTGGCTCTGGGCTCTGCCTCCCTGGGCACCTGCCCCGGAGGACGAGCCTGCCGTTTGTGGCCCCGGCAGATGGCCATTGCGCCCTTGGGACCTGCGAGCAGGAAAAGCAGCTCGGCACCTGGCCCCCGCATCCCCTGACTCAGCCCCCTGCAGCCCTGGCGTCCTCCCTCGGGCCCCTTCCCAAACAGAGGAGCCCCACCCGCCCTCGGGTGGCATTGACTCTGGGCCAGCCCATCCTTGTGTCGCTTCGAGGGCTCAGTCAGTTGTCACTCCACAAATGTTTTGGCCTGCCTGCTCTGAGCCGGGCACCGGGCCAGGCCCTGGGGATGCCGAGACGAAGGAGGAAGTTGAGGGTCCCTGCCCTCGAGGGTGTCGGGGGAGGAAGACGGCACAGAACGCGACGTGGTCGTGGTGGAAACAGGGACAGTGCTCACAAGGCGCAGAGAGCCAGCTGTGCCCAAGCACTGCGGTGAGCACTTTCCAGATGTTGTCATGGAATCCACAGCCCCGTAATGTGGACACCATCACAAATACGGGAAATGCGGCCCAGAGAGGTTAGGCCACTTGCTCAAGGTCACCCAGCCAGAAAAGGCTTGAGGTGGGATTCAAACCCAGGCTGTCCAGCTCCAGAGTGGAGCTTTTATTTCCATGTGAAATAAATGCAGGAGAGGTCTTGTCCCCCACCCCCTGCTCCTGCCCCAGGACTGCCCTCTGCTCACGCGGGTGATACTGGTGCCAAAGGCGTGGTATCTAGTAGTCTCTCGTGGGCACAGATTCCCGGGACCCCCGTTCATTTCATTCCCTCCCATTACACTCTGCACTTTCTTGATCATAACTCACCACACTTCAGCTGCTTGTTTCATTGCTTGTCTGTCTCACAACTCTCCAAGTTCCCCGGGAGCAGGGGCTGCAGGGGCTGCGTGCGTCTTAACCAACTTGCAACTAGCAGCATAGTTATTGTTAACTATTAACAATAGTTAATGTTAACTAGTTAACTAGCAAAGTTATTGAATGGGTGTGGGGGCGTGAAGAATGTGAGTGGGCGAATTTGAGCCTCAAACCACTGGGGAGTAGAGCAGGTACCATCCCCGTGGGACGGGCTCTGGGCAGCGGCTTGGCGGAGCTGTGGGTCCAGCCCCTTGTTCTGACTCCAGCCCAGGGAACGTTGTTGGGTCACACTACGAGCAGGTCCCCAGGGTCATAGGAACCCCTGAAGGCCCAAGGAAAGTTGGGGGCAGCAGATGTCTCGCTCTGCCAGGTCCAAATTCCCTTCTCCTTCGCCTCCTCCCTCCGCTGTCCCGAAGGAGGCCACGGTCCCCTTCCCTGGCCTGGCCCATCGTTGTGTGCTTGATGCCCACGGCAGCGGGGCACACGTGACCCGGGGGAGGGACATGAATGATGTTAAGGCATCCCCAGGACTTTGGTGACACCTGCAAAACCCTTCTATGTTGCACTGAAGACCCAAACCTGGAACTCCCAGTGAATAATGTTCCATTCATTCATTCCACACTGACTTATTGAGGGCCTACTGTATGCCACGCAGAATTTAGGCACCAGGGACCCAGACCCGCCCTCAGGAAGCTGTCACTCCAGCAGGGGAGACGGAAGAGAAGCGGGCAGCCGCAGCTGGGGTGCGAGACCCCAGGGCTGTGCGAGTGCGCAGAGGAGGGTGGGAGGAAGGCGTCCCTCCCAGGGGCCCGCCCCGGAGCCGAGAGATGGCATAATCCGCAGAGAGAGGATTACAGGAAAAGCTGTGCAGCTGAAGTAGGGGAGTGGCAGGGGGGAAAGCTGGGAGTGGGGTAGTCAAGATCCCAGTTCTAGGTGCTTTTACACCCAAAACTTCATTGAGTCTTCACAACAAGCTATGAGGCAGGTACTGTTAAAATTCGGACTTCACAGATGAGAAAATGGTGGCACAGAGAGGTTCACGGTGGCACAGAGAGGTTCAGTAACTTGCCCCCAGGACACAGGTAGAAAGGAACAGGCAGGATTCAAACCCAGGAAGTCCGGCTCCAGCAACTGTGCTTCTAACCACCGTACTGCACGGCCTTCACAGACAAGAGTCACACCACGGACGCCCTTCCACCATAGTGAGGGGCCCATTCACCAAATGCTCCCCCAGGAAATGGGGACACAGAGCTGGTCAGGCTGGCCCTGTGGGGCACGGCCTGGGGGCTGCGTGGAGGATGGTTTGGGGCAAGGCGGGAGGGCTGGGTGAGAAGAGGGCAAAGGGAGCTGGTGGGAGGGGAGAGGGTGGGTTTGAGAACAACTGAGAAGGGGGACTTGGCCAAAAACGGGTGACAGTAGGAAATGCGGGGGTGGGAGGAGGGAGGGACAAAGAGGGGTTTCCCGGTTTCTGGCTGGGAGAACGTGGGGGAGGGTGCACCACCAACCAGGCCACAGAACCCAGGAGAAAGAAAGGCTGTGGGAGCGACAGTGAGTTCAGGTTGGGACGTGCTGCCTTGGAGGCCCCTGGGGGACACCCAGGTCCCACTGCCTCTCAGGTCCCACCTCCCCACCCTCCTGTGCCCTCCCCAGCCCCATCTTCCTCAGTGTCCTCACGCCTCCACCCAGAGCCACCAGCTTCTTGGAAGGCCACAGAGCTAGATCCCCAAAGCCCTGCAGTCTCCAACCCCGGCCCCCTGCGTGGCACCAGGCCCTCCTCCCTGCAGCAGCAGATCCACGCCCACTTCCTGCCTGTCCCTAAGGTCCCCAGAGGGTGGGATGGGACTTTTCCAGTCTGTTTTCCCCTGGCAGCCGTGGGGACATTATCTACCCTCCATGTGATGTGGCCTTGGCCTGGGACTCCGCATGGCGGAAGAGCCCGTGCCAGTCTGCACCATGGGAGGTGCAAGGTCACCCAGCCGGCTCCCTGCAGGCAGCACCTTGCCGGTGGTGGGGGAGGGGGAAGGGGAAGAACTGAGCGTGAAGGAGGAGGGGGACACGTGGCAGGCAGGAGTGTGCCTGGGATGGGGTGGGACCCAGGGTTCATGGGAGAGACTTCTCACCAGGGGTCAGAAAACCCTGGTGCTACTCCTGGCCCTGTAGCTGAGCTGCCATGTGACCCTGTCATGCACCTGCACGGGCTGCACACTTTGGCTCTTCCCACTCCCTGCTCCTGTCCCAGCCCTCCCGCCACCAGGGGAGGGGAAGCCCTGGAGAGGAGGGCTGGGCTCTGGAGGGGAGGTTCCGGGCAGAAAGCAAGGTGTTGTCCCAACACGCAGGACAATAGGGCGGCTTAGCGCGGGCAGCACATTCGGCTTATTTTCCAGGCTGTGTGTCGGGACATGCTGGGCTGGTGTCTACGTTTCAGTAAGCCTCTTGCTACAATAGCGTTCTGGGCAGCTTCAGTCACTTAGACCACAGCGCTAATCCGCTCAGGAAGAGGCTGGCCTCCGTGCAGCCCGGGGCCCCGCCGCCTCCGCAGCTTCAGCCTCTCCTGCATCTGCCTCCGGCTCTGCCCTTGCCCAGGGTGCCACCTTCCCACGCCCCAGAGGCCCAGCAGCCCCGATGGTCTGAGCAGGGCTGCAGGGAATTGAGTTAGACACTAAGAAGAACTGTCCCAGCACTGGGGTGCTGAGTAGAGGGATGTGGTTTCTTTTTGCCTTAAAGAGTTTTTAAAAATATGAGATATTTTGTCTGCCATAGAAATCAGGTGATTTTGGCATAAGGGCAGGGAGGTGGCCATTGAAACCTCCAGAATTTTCCGGAAAGGAGTGGTGTGGGGAACTACACCAAAGACATAGGCGAGGAAAACCCCGGGAAATAACCCCCCGAGACACAGCCCCCCTGTCCCCTCCAGGCACCGGATGGGACTGTGAGTTCGGAGTCCTGGGTGCAGGGCTGCCTGACTCCAGAAGCCCCTCTGACCCCCGGCTCCTCTTCAGTCTCAGGTTTGGACTATAAAACACCTCCGACCCGACACTCTCGGCACCTGATGCCATGCATCCCTCCTTCCACTTTGCAGTGTTCTCCCTAAATAAGGAAAAGAGACCTTCTCCGTATGAGTCCGGAATCTTCCGTTTGCAGGAAACAGAAAACTCCCCCTGACTGGCTCAAACAATAGAGGACATCTGTTCACTCGGCAGAGCTGCAGGCAAAGGCTGATGGAGCAGCTCAGGGGTGTCACCAAGGGCCAGGTTTCCTCCCGTCCGCCCCCTGGGTCGTGCCCACCCTGGGTTCCCCTGCGGTCCCGGTGGGGGGAGCTGCTCTCGCCGCCTCCTGCTTCTTCCTTCGGGTGCCGATGGGAAGAGCTTCTCCGTCCCAGCGTGTCCACCAGAGTCCTGTAACGCTCTGATGGAGGGGCAGGACCTGGGCGGCGTGTCCCCCTTGAACCGACCGTGGCGCTGTGTGCTCCTCTGCAGAGCCCGAGGTGCCTTCGCTCCCCGAGTTGCCAGGACCTTCCAGGTGGAGACGGGAGCTGCTGGCATGAGGAGGGGACTGGCTACTGGGGAGACCCCCCTCCACTGGGCCCTCTAGTCCGTATCCCCCCTCGTGGCTGCAAGACCACGTCGTGGGGCTGGTCCCCTCTCATCTACGTCTTCAGTCCCGGCTCTTCCAGCACCCCGCCCTGTGTCTCGATCTGCTCACAGAGCACGCCTACCTGATGTCCTCCACCCCACCCTCACACGACAAGAACGAACCACCCCACCCCTGACATTGTCCCACCTGCCCCCACACGTACACGCACACCGCTCGAGTCTCCCGCTATCCCCACCTCGGGCTGGCCCTTCTCCTTCACCCCACGTCACACCAGCCTGGACACCTGGCAGCTCCCCACTGGGTCTACAGCGACCTTACGCCTGGGCCATTCAGACGTCCTCCTCTGCTTCCTTCCCACGCACCCAGTCTCCTCCTCACTGGCACATCAGCCTTCCCGAAACACCACTGCTTCCTGCCAGCCCTCCCTCCAAAACCTTCAATGACTCCCCACTGCCCGCATGACCAAATCCTCCTCCCTTCCCCCGGCATTCCAGGCCCTTGGAGAACCAGCCTCCTCTGCCTTTACGGGCTCCCATTTTGCCCTCCACTCTGCTGTCTCTTACAGATGCGTGTCTGGTCCACTGTGTACCCCGAAAGACCCTGAGCGTCCCTGCCTCCCCATGCCCCTGTGGCTTCCCAAGGTCCCCATCCTCCTGGCAGCCTTCCCTGACCACTTCAGCCCCGCAGCCTCTCTGTCACCAGGCGAGTTGTCTGGCCCTCAAACCCACCGCCTAGCACCCGCCTCTGTGTGTATGTGCCCCTTACCTGACTTCCTGTGCCCAGCTGCACCCAGAGCCCCTGGACACCACAGTTGCTGCCTCAAATGCCCCCAGGGAGACTGTTCTTGGGAGAACACCCTGCTCACCAGCTATGGGATCTTGGGCAAGTCACTTAGCCTCTCTGAGCTCTGGTTTCCTCACCTGGAAGACAGGTGTCATCCCACCTGCTCTGTCTGTATCCCAGGGTGGTCGGAGGGTCACAGGAGGTGATGTGCAGGGAAAGGGCTTTGCAAAGCTGTGCAAACAGACTGGCCAAGGGGCGTTTCCCGGGTGACCTGGCCTCCGTCCCCCCTGCCAATGGGGGAGGGAGAGAGGGCAAGAAGGAAGCCTGGCCCGTCCCCAACGGGGAGCTCTGCGGCAGTCTGGCCCTCAGCAGGCCAGGAGGAGAACAAGAGCTGATCAAAGGCCAGGGCTGTAAACAGCAGGGGAGGGCACCTCTCCCCAGGAAAGGGAACCCGCGGGCCGGCTCCATCTGACACCCTCCGGGCCGCCAGCAGGGCCTTCCCGCCCTCTAGTGGACACACTTGGGAGGTGCATCATTTCCGTAGCCGAGCCGCCGGCGGGGCTGCCTAGCCGGTCAGGCAGCAAGGTCTAACCGGGTTGCAGAATGGCTCTGCACAGCTGTGCTGTGACCTTTGTTATCATACTTACGGAATTCTCAACAGCCCTTCAAGGATTGCGTTATCATCCTCGTCTTACAGATGGAGAGCCTCAGGCTTAGAGGTCATGGACCTGCTCAAAGCCCCACAGCTCTTCATGGAGGGGCTGGGATTCCTCCCCAGGCCAGGTGCTGCAGGGGTCTGGGCCCCTCCAGGGTCCCCACTGGGGAGCCAGACCCGGTTTCCTGCAGCCAGGCTGGGAGGTCGTAGGTTGTTTTGTCACGGGAAAATCAGGGCAGTGGCTTCTGGCAAAGGCCTCAGAGAACCCACCTGCTTCTGCTCCTTTGTCTCTGGCTGCAGCTTGAACTTACCCAGGTGGCTCCCCTTCCAACGTGGGGGCCGAACCTGTGGCCCATGACCCTTGTCCTCTCAGGTAGGGGTTAGCAACTTCTCTGTAAAGGGCCAGATAATAAACATTTTAAGCTCTATGGGCGCTGTGGGCTCTGTCACAACTACTCTACTCTGCCATGGCAGCAGTCCTAGACAAGGCATGAGGGAATGAGCACAGCTGTGTTCCAATAAAACTTTATTCATAGACATTGAAATTTCAGTTTCATATCGTTTTCAGGTGTCATGAGACCATTCTCATCTTGCAGATGGCACAAAAATCGGCAGTGGGCCATAATCTCCCGACCCTTGCTCTAAGACAAAGGAGTCTGCCCCTGAAGTATTCGTGCTTCACCTCCTCCCATCTGACTGTTCCTTCTTGGTTCCTTTGCCTGGTTCCATTTATTTTTCCCCATCCCCTCAGTGGTGCCAGAACCCAGGGTCCTGCCCTGGGCTCTCTGTCTTCTCTTCCATGGTGCTCACTCCCTCAGGCGTTCAGTTTCGGTAGCCTGGTGCAGGGAGTCCCAGCATACGTCCCTTCCCAGCACTCCTCAGCCACCAAGCCTTTGTCCGGCTGCCCCACACGGCTCACCAGCCCTTCAGCTTGCATCACGCCTTCCTATCTGTGTGTTTTAGAAGCCATTTCCCTTCCCCAAAGCCCCGGAGCAACACGGCACCCTAGAGAAAGCATGCTGGTTTCGACTTGGGTCTAAATCCTGACTCCGCCACCAGCCAGCGCCTGATCTTTATCTTTTCCTTCTCGGGGCCCTCCCTGCATCCATGTCCCGTGCTGTGCTGTTGGAGGAGCAGCGTGGTGCTGTGATGTGAGCACCGGGTAAGGCGCAGGAGACCTGGGGGCCGGCTCCAGCCCTGCACTTCCGTAGCCCCTCGACTTGAAGGCTGTTACAGGGTGGGGGAGGGCTGCAGCCATTTGCATCAGATAGTCCTGGATTTCAACAGAGATAACGATTTGGGAGTCAACAGCATGTAGATGGCCACGTAGCCATGGGTGAGGATGACATCACCCAGGCAGTAAGAAGGGAAGGATCCTGAAATACACCCACAGGGCCCGTCTTAACCTCTGTGGCCAGGAGGTGGCAGCATAGGCCATTAAGGGGTGTTCCAAGGGACAGGAGAGCAAAGCAGCTCTCCCAAGCTTAATTGCTTCCTTTTTCCTTTTTTTTTTTTTTTTTTTTTTTTTTGGAGAGACAGGGTCTCACTTTGCCACCCAGGCTGGAGCGCAGCGGTGTGCTCATAGTTCACTGCAGCCTTGAACTCCTGGGCTTAAGCGATCCGCCCACCTCAGCCTCCCAAGCACCACCATGCCTGGCTAATGTTTTTTAACTTTTTGTAGAGACAGGGGTTTTGCTGTCTCTACAGCAAAACCATGTCTCTACAGCATGTTGCCCAGGCCGGTCTCGAACTCCTGGCCTCAGGTGATCCTCCCAACTCAGACTCCCAAAGCGCTGGGGTTGCAGGCATGAGCTACCGCACCAGGCCCTCCCAAGCTTTAGATTTATCTCCTGGTTGGGCGACAGTGCCTGGCACCCAGCTGTGTGTGTGTGTTGGCAGGAGCTAAATCAGAGAAGAGTAGAAGCGTATATAGCTTTTTCCATCTAAAAACTCACTGGATGGGAATCAGGAAGATATTACCTTGCCAAAAGCACTTAACAAGGAGCTCAAAGGGTAGCACTCCTTCGGAAGGGGAGGGGCTGGAGGAACATAGACCACCCACTCTCAGGATGTCTAGATTAGAACCCAATTCTACTATTTACTAGCTGTGTGGCCATGGGAAAGTTACTTAACTTCTCTGTGTTTCAGTTTCTTTAACTATAAACTAGGGACAATGATGGTATCTATCTCTATTGGGTTGTGTATTACATGAAGGAATGAATGAACATGAAAAGTTTTTAGAACAGTGCTTGGCACATAGAAAGTGTTTATAAATATTAGCAATTAATATTATGATCTTTAAGATCATCCCTGAATGGGAAACCCTCCAGGTCCCTCCTTCCCATGAGCTCCCTTAGAGTCCCAAGATCTCAGCCTGGGACTCAGAAAGGTAGTGGTCATGTCACATCAGCCACTGGGAAAAGGGTCCCGGAGGAAGCATGCCACATCACGCCACCCCAAGAGCCTGGGATTTCAGAGGCCATGCCAGCGGAATGGCAGGGTCAGGGAGCACATAGCCCCTTACCTTGATGTCCTTTTTACCTGGCCAGGGCCTAGCGCCTCCCTTTCCCCAGTCTCCAGGGAATCAGGGCCAGATAGACATATGTGTGTGTGTGTGTGTGTGTGTGTGTGTGTGTGTGTGTGTTGCAGGGGACGGGGGTGAGGGCAGGGAAAGAAGACTCCTTCCCTCTCTACCTTGGCTTTTCTCTGGTCGTGAAGTCAAATGTGGAAGTGAAAGACCCCTGGGCTGGGCATTAGGTGACCCAGGTTCCAGCCCTGGCTCTGTGACTCTGGGTGACTTCCTTCCCCTCTCCCAGTTCCCATCTAGCCCAGCTGTTTCCTGACCTTTAGGTGGGCTTGGGATTCTTCTCCCAGCCCTGCAGCTCACCGGACCCCTCCTCCACTCCTTTCTCCCTCTCCCCTCCACAGTCCCCATGCAATGTCCTCATGGAAGGCTCCTAGATCTAGACATGGCTTAAATCTTGAAAGAGAAAGAGAGAAAGAGAGAGAGAGAGAGAGAGAGAGAGAGAGAGAGGGAGGACAGACGCCTCTTGGCCTCTGACTTTCCAATTCCCCTGCAATGACGCTCCTCAGGGCTCAGCAGATGGGCCTGGACTGCCGACTGCAGACGGAGCCACACCTGGGCCCCTGGGAACAGACGTGGGAAAACAGTGCGGGGGCACAGGCTGTGGAGGGCGGCTGCTGCCGAGCAGTTTGCATTAGAGGGAGGTGGCGGGTTGGTCCCAGCTCCTGCAATGCCTGCCCAGGGGTCACTCCCTGACCTTCCTGCCCAGTGCTCTGTGTCTGTCTGGCCTGCAGCCTGCACCCTGGTGGCCGGGGAGGGGGCACACCACCCTGCCATGCCCCAGCAGAGGAAGCGAGTCCCTGGAAAGGAGGCTCCCAGCCTCTCGAGGTGTTAGTTAGTACAAAACCTAACTGAGCCGGCGGCATCAGGGAAACCACCCTGGATTGCCAGGAACCGAGGCTCAAGGTTCTCTCCAAAAAGTCCCTCTGCTCAGAACAAGCAGGCCTGTGGGCCTCTGTTGCCACCACGGAGACGCTGGAAGCCAAAGGACAGATGTGCTTCCACCCGGCTCACTCGGATTTCTCGTGAGCAACAGCACGATGCTTGGAGGATGAGCAGAGATGCGTGTCCCGGGCATAGAAACTCAGGAAATGGCGAGCTAGTGGCTCGTCTCAGAGTGTGGGGCACAGTGATCCTTTCTGGATCCGGGGAACCAAACTCAATGACCAGAATTGGCTAGATAATACACAGGACCCAGCGCAAAATGAAAACGCAGGGCTCCTTGTTCAACGGGTATTAAGAATTTCCAGAAGACAACACTAAGCCCTAAAGCCAGCATGGGGCCTTCTGAGCGTGGGGCCCTTCTGGGCACAGGCCCCGTGAGACTGCCCGGTGGCACAGCCGTGCGCCGGCCCAGCCGACAACGACACTTCTCAAGCATCTACTGTGTGCTGGGTGTGTTACATGCACCATCTCAGTCGATCATGAAACAGCCCCGTGCAGTAGGCACGACTAGGTTCTCTTTATGGATGAGGAAACTTAAACCCAGAAATGAAACTGCTTGCCCAAGGTGACATTTGCTAGGGAGTGGCATTTGAGTCCGGATTCTTCTGAGGTCAGAGCCTGTGTTCCGTTGAGTGGTGCGCAGAGTCTCTGGGGGAGGCCAGGAGGCTTGGCCTCTGGTGGGCACCCTGAGGTGTGCAGAGACTCCCTCCTAAGTTTACCCTGCTCTGTGCTGGGCCGCTCAGGACCAGGATCCTGTCCTGAGCATGGAGACATTGCAGGAAGCACACACGATCTAGACCCAGACAGACCTGGCTTTGTATTCGCTTTGCCTCCCACTGAGTCACTGGGAAAGTCGCTGAACCTCTGCGAGCCTCAGTCTTCTCATCTGTAAAACTGGATAACAACAGGTACTTCAAGCTGTCAGGAGGATTAACCATGATCTGGTATATAAAATGCCTCACATGTGTAATGGGCAACAGGAATCTCTGTCCTCTTTAGGAAAACACATAGCTGCCCCCTCCCCACTCTCCCCTTCTCTCCCCAGCAAGCCCCGCCCTCTCCCTGCTCTCTGCTCCTCTCGCCCTGTCTCCAGGGCTGCTTGGCCTCTAGGCCCAGCTCCTCGGCTACCTCTCCCTTAGATAACCCAGCAGGGTCCATTGAGTTTCAAGGCTTATGGATAATCACACCAGGGAGAATTAAATTAAAATGCCAAATGTGGGGAGATCACCAAGTTCCTGGAGTCCCCGTGGCCGGGCTCCTTTCTGCAGTGGCAGCCCCCAGCCCTGGGAAACATGCACCACCTACTTCCACTCCTCAGTGAGGGTCTCTCCCAAGTCCCCCTTCATTCCCCCGCCCCGCCCCTGTCGGGAAAAGCCCATGGGCTTCCTGCAGGGCTGGGGCTCTTGGGCAGGACCGGGGCTTTCCTGTCTTAGGGGGTGGTTTGGGTTTCGGACAGCTCTTGGCTGGGGCTCTTCATCTACTGGGCTTCCCCTCCCCCCCCCAGGGACAGTCCCCCTGGGATAAAGTCCCCTTCCAGTCCTTCCCGGCCATGCCAGGAACAGGGGGTAGATGATGGGTGGGGGGATGCCTAAGGTCTGAGAAACCCCCCACGGTGCCAGGAAAAAGAGCGAATTCTCCCTTCCCCTCCACCCCCCCTCAACCCAGCCAACTGCAGCTTCAGGCCTGCCCGGCTGGCGCCTGCCCCTTTGCCCTCTCTCCAGGAGTAAATATTGGATCAGGTTCGGTCACCAGCTGCTTAGCTCAGAGCGGTGGCTTCATGAATGGCTGGGATGCTGGGGAAGACATGCCCAGCGGTATCAGCGCCCCAGGGGAGCCCGGGCAAGCTCCCTGGGGCAAACAGTAGGCCTGAAGTGCAGGCTCCAGGTGACAACTCCAGGTGGCACGGCCCCTCCTTCCCCAGCCACACCGGGCACTGCAGATGCCAACGTGTGAAGCTGGCCCCGTGGAACGGGTCTTTCTTGCCAGGCCATTTGGCACACTGGTCTGATTCGGTATATTGAGATACTGTACCTGGTCACACCTGTTCACTCAGGTAGACTCACCGCCACGGCCTGGCCACTCAGGTGTGTTTTCACCTGGGAGTAACTGACGCATTCAGATGCATTTTGATTGGACATACCTGTTCATTCAGGTGTAGGGTCCCTGGGCCTAGCTGATCATCCAGGTGTGTCAGAGCTGAGCAGGCTGCTCGGTCACTCAGTGGGGCCGTGTTCCTGGGGGGCCCGGGCAACCCACGCCATTCTGATCGTGGGGCTCACCCTAGAGGAAAGGGATGGGGAGTCTAACCCACTACCTCTTCCTCACCCCTCCAGAGGTGTTCCCCACCCTGTCCTTGTCCAGACTGCTCTCAGTTCCCGACCCCTCTGACCTCCCTCCTCTGCCGGGGCCACTCCCAGCCCTCGGGCCACACCTGGCTGCTCTGGGGCCCCAGCCCTTCCCAGGCTGCAGAGAAAGGGGAAGCTGGCCTGGGAGGAAATTAGGGAAATTAGCTGTGACTCCAGGGAACAACATCCCTTGGGCTGGGTTCACTGGGTACGGTGGCAAAGGCCTCCCAGCTGGTTCCAGGGACTCAGTTCCTCTAGGGTGAGGTGAGAGTGTGACAGCTGCTTCCCCCCAGCCCTGGGCACATGCTCCATACCTGGCCAGCGGCTGCTCCACGAGCCGAGATTTCGAGCAAGGGGTGCAAGAAGCATGGCTTGCCTGGGCATTTCTCTGGGCTGCGCTAACCTCAGAGGACAACACCGTGAGTCACCACTGCAAGGCTGTCCTGGCCCCTCCCTCCCCAGGTTGGGTGGTGGGGGTGGCGGGCAAGATCTGGGGCCAAAAATCACAGTGCTGGTCTGGGGCCAATCAGAGCCAGAGTCACCGCCCGGGGACAGTGGCAGGGGCTGGAGGGAGCTCTGTGCACTTTCTGACTTGTCAGCAGAGCTCGTTCCCTGGGCTCCAGCCGGATGCTGGCCACCCATCCAGCGGCTCGGTTTTAACACAAAGTGGGATGCGAATGTCTGCCAGACAGCATCCGTGCCTTCCACCCGTGCCCTGGTTTCAGAGCCTCTGGCCTCCTAGCCTCCCCGGTCTGTCTCCAGTCAACTCGCCCTCTTGCCCGCGCGGATGATCTGCCGCGTGCTCGGTCCTTCCCCAGCAGGCCCAGCTGCTGGAGCTGGAGCGTGGCATCATCCAGGCCCGAGCCTCTCAGGCTGGGGGACTAGGGAGCTCAGGGTGCGGGGTGCTCCCCTCCGCAGGCCCCAGGCAGCTGTCCTCTCTCCTCCTGCCCCGTCCTCACGCTCGGTCCCTGGCAGCTGCAGCTGGGTGGGGCTTAGAAGCCCTGGAGTACCTTCTCTGAGCTCCGCACTGGCAGCGGTGGCTGGCTGGAGACGTGTGGGCACCCAGGCAGGCCAGTCCCTTGGCATCTCTTCATCAGGACGTCTTTTAAATATTTGTTCGAAATAGGTTTAGAAGAGAGGCCAAGGGCTCCACGGAGGGGCCAGGAGTGGGGAGGGCAGAGAGCTGCTAGGGCCAGCCTTGGTCTCTCTCCCTTCCCCACTCAGCAAGGAGAGGGCCTGTCGTTTAGCCAGCCCCGCTGTCTTGTCACTAAAGTCTCGACAGTAAAGGGAGCTCACCTGGACCTAAGGTGAGCCGAGAGGCAGGTCAAATGCTTTCTCCTATCTCCTATCACACAGCGTGCTGCATTTTCAGGGGCGCTCTGTGCACCTGCGAGCTGCACCCCTTACCCCAGTTCTGGCTACAAGGACATCTGGGGGCCGTCTTGTCCCGCTCTCTGACACCTCCCCACCCCTGCATCCACCTGTCAGCCCTGCTGTGGTTCCACACCCCTGGAATCGTGTGGGGGGGGTAGGTGGGGGGATGCCCAAATGCTCGCAGACAAACTCGGGCCACAGACCTCGTAACCCCTCTCTTCCTAGGACCTCACTTCCCAAAGTGAAACCTCATAATTTCCTGCAGAACCTGGGGCAGCCCATGGTCCCAGGTGTCCAGGGAAGGAGGTGAGGTTCTCTCCTCTCATTCCATGCCCTTTCTCTTCCTTGCCCAAATCTCCTGGGTCAGGGGAGAGCCCTGGGGGCGCTGCTCACAGCTCTCACCTCGCTATTTCCCTCCCCCTGAGTAGGCGTCCCCTCTGCTCTGTCCTCCCGGCCCCCACTGCCACCCTCTCCCCCACAGGCGGGCGGGCGGGCGGCCGGGCAGGCGGGTGCCTCCATGAGGTTGGGATTTTGCGTTTAATTATGGAGCAGGAACTTGGCGATGAGTCTGCTCCCAGCAGGGCGTGCGGTGTCTCTCGAATCCCGGCTAATGAGACAGTGCAGAGCCCGCCGCCAGACGCAGCTCTGTAATTTAACGGGGGCCTAATTGCTGTGGGGGCTCCTGCTTTTAATGTGATCAACAGCAAAGGCCTTCTTCTTTTTTTTTCAACCCGTCCAGTTGGAGGAAATGGCGTTCTGGTCTCTCTCCTAATATGTGTTCCAAGCTGACACTCTACTCAGGGGCGCAGGGGGTCCATTCGAATGGTCTCTGCTCCCCAGCGGCTGATTAGAGCAGGGTTCCGAGCCACTTGGGCCTTTGGAGGTGCAAAGAGGACGTTCCAGGTGGGTCCGCTGCACCTCTGGCCAACTCCCCGTCAGCACCTGTCACAGTGCATGGCCAGGTCCCGCAGACAGGTCGCTCCCACCTGCCGGACCCGTGGCTCTTAGAACCATTTGAGCAGCTCACAAAAGCTCCTCTCTCTTACTCTCTCAAAAAGAACAATAGCCCAACAACATTAATTGTCCTCTTAGTATGTTCCAAGAACTAAGTTATGATGTTAAGTGATATACATGTATGTGTATAGATAGCTCCATGTGTGTGTATCTATATATTTATATATCCCATCTAACTCTCACCATGACCCTGAGAAGGGTGCTATGTTATTCCCATTTTACAAATTAGGAAATCAAGGTATAGAGTGGTAAATAATTTGCCCCTTTACACAGATGTGACTTATTTCACTTGAACATGTTCATTTGTAGAGACTCTTTTTTTTTTTTGACAGAGTCTCATTCTGTTGCCCGGGCTAGAGTGCCATGGCATCAGCCTAACTCACAGCAACCTCAAACTCCTGGGCTCAGATGATCCTCCTGCCTCGGCCTCCCGAGTAGCTGGGACTACAGGCATGCGCCACCATGCCTGGCTAATTTTTTCTATATATATTAGCTGTCCAATTACTTTCTTTCTATTTATAGTAGAGACGGGGTCTCACTCTTGCTCAGGCTGGTTTCTAACTCCCAACCTCGAGCAATCCACCTGCCTCGGCCTCCCAGAGTGCTGGGATTACTAGAGACTCTTTCTTTAGAAACATACAGCTGTGTCTCTGTCTCTCTCACAAGTCACACACAGGCTCACGGTCAACAGTGGCATATCCTGTTATGATACGCCAGACTCCCTGCAGGCTGCCAGGCCCCCTCCTACTGCTCTTGGGGCCCAAACCCAGAGTAGGAGATGCCTGAGGGCGGGAACTCTGGCCCTCATCTCCACCGCTGAATAAGCGGCACTTAATTAGTGTTTACATGGAACATCGGGAAAGAGAGGGAGAGAGGGAGGCGGGGAGGGAGGGCATGATCCCTGCCTCTAAGAAGTTCGGAATTGAATTAGTTGGACAATCTATACAACGTGCAATGAGACTTTTAAACAACAGTTCAAAAGAAGGGAGGAGCTGCCCCCAGTCCGAGCAGGATCCGTGGTGCAGACTGGGTAAAAGACACGGGTACTTGACACAGGTCAGGGCTGCTGGTCCCGCTGGGTCCAGGGCTGGCAGGAGGACTAGTTGGGTGACCCAGGTGGCGGGCTTGGAGCCCTTCAGGAAGAAGTCATTAAAGGTGAACGCCGTGTTCCTGACGTCTGCTTTGTTTGCTTTCTCTCCAGTGGGAGGGGTGGGGGCCGGAGAGATGGGCCAGGAGGCTGGCACAGTCCTTAGCTTTCTTGAGCACAGCCCAACAACAGCTCAGCATTCACCAGCATTCCCAGTCTGCCTCCCCCACCTTCCGTCCACCCCTCAGCCCACCGCGTGCTGGCTTCTGCCCGCCCTTGTTAAGGTCACAGTCTAGGGCGACCGGCCATCTCCGTTTGCCCAGGACTTTCAATGCCAGAGCTGGGAGAGTCCCGGACAAACAGGGGCAGTTGACCGCCCTACCAATGGCTTCCCAGTTGCCAAATTCAATGATGTTTTTCTGTCCTTAACAACCTTGACCTCCCCCCACTGCCTCCTCTTTCCTTCTTGATGCTCTCTCTGGTCCTGGCTCAGGCTCCAACTTCTGGTCTGCTTGTTCTCCTCCTCCTTTGTTAGCTCTGCCTCCTCTGCCATCCAGTTCTGCCATTTCGGTCCTCTAGACCCTAGCGAGCACCTGTTATTGTATACACTGGGTGCTGGGGAGATGAAAGCCACAGGTGTGGTCTCTGGCCTCAGGAAGCCCACAGCCCGGTGAAGGAGACAGACACGGAACCCCCGTGCGCTGGGAGACGTACAACAAGAGAAGCACGTAGAAGTGCTTTAGACTGGGAGTGATCAAGCCTGTCTGGACAGCATCAAGGACTGTGTGTGTCAAGGAGGTAGTTAATCCTAAGCTGGGTTTTGAAGAGTGAATAGGAGTTTACTAGGGAAGAGGTCAAGGAGGCAACCACTCCAGTAGGTGGGAACAACACGTGCAAAGGCATGAAGCAGTGAGACACAGTGGTGTGTGCAAGAGAAGTAGGTGTCGTTTGATGTGGCTGAACTTACACCGTGAGAGGAAAAAGGCAAGACGAGAGGTGAGGGAGGCAGGGTAAGTCACAAGGGACCCCACAAAAAATGCCTCCGCAAGAGAGTCTGTGAATGAGCTTGCAGAGGCCCAGAGCTCCTGCAAATGAATGGAAAATGTTGGACATATGTGCTTTTGATTCTGGGGAGGAAGTTCTTCTCATTTCATCAGCTTCTGCAGGAGGGGTTGGGGACCCAAAGGCCGGATGTTGAAGAGCTATTGGGAGCAACTGAGCAGAAAAGCCCATTGTCAGATTTTTGGTTTGTTTTCTTTTTTGAGACAGAGTCTCACTCTGTTGCCCGGGCTAGAGTGCCCGTGGCATCAGCCTGGCTCACAGCAACCTCAAACTCCTGGGCTCAAGCGATCCTCCTGCCTCAGCCTCCTGAGTAGCTGGGACTACAGGCATGCTCCACCACGCCCGGCAAATTTTTTCTGTATATTTTTAGTTGGTCAGTTAATTTCTTTCTATTTTTAGTAGATACGGGGTCTCGCTCTTGCTCAGGCTGGTTTTGAATTCCTAACCTTGAGCAATCCGCCCGCCTTGGCCTCCAAGAGTGCTAGGGTTACAGGTGTGAGCCACCGCGCCCGGCCCAGATTTTTGTTTTTAGTTAAGGTTTCTCTGGTCCCTGACTGAAGGCAGAGCCGTGGGCGTGGAGGCCAGAGGCCAGTGTACCAGTGAGGCCCGCAGGGCTCAGCCTCAGCCTTCTTCCTTGGTCCTGAGCAAAGTCTCTCCAAGGCTGCCACCTGTCTCCAGGCCCATCTAGCAGGCCTCCTGTCATGTCTGAAAGTCTCGCCAAGATGTTCTACTGGCCCCTCAAAGTTTACCTGGTCACAGCTGAAATCAGCACCTGTGCTGGGCCCATGGCAGATACCGAGGAAAGCCTTTCACAATGAGTTGAGATCCAGCTCTACGATGAACCCATGAGTGAGATTTTAGGGTTTGGTTTTAGGTCTTTCTAGAGATCGATCAACTCTCTTTAA